AAACTCAGCTGGGCAAATGCCTATCCATTTGGAAGCCTGGATGCAAAACTTGCACATATGAGTGATTTATATATAGCAGAGCTGGGGGTACTGTTCAGAAACAGAGAGAGCTATACATTTATTATATCATAAACAAAATATGAAACACATCCAAGCAGGTTAGAGTATGCTCATGAACCATGAAATATTGAATGCCAAATTGAAAAGCAAAATGGAAAACTGGAAAGGATGAATGGATGGATTGGGTATTGGTTGTGAGAGAAAATCAATCAGCTTTCTTACATTCCTTACAGTACTCAGACGGCATGGCTTGCTATCTAGAATCCTCAAATGGAGCACGTTTGTTAAGAAGGTAAAAGTAGAGGAACCCCCTTGGTAAAATACATTTTGCACTACAATATTCTGCATCTATTAAAAAGTCAATCCCATTGAATTCAGTGACATTTACTCTCATGTAAATAGCTGTCAAAATACTGTCTTAATCCCCCATTGTGCACTTTCTTAATGAGATGCTGAAAACCAAAGGCCATAATTTTCCAATCAAATTTATTCCGGCATTGTTTTGCATTTAACCGACAGATGCAGGAAATTCAAATATTGTTCTTAATATCAGTTGGGATAGTGTCCTAAAACATAAATCTTTTGATAGGCTCATTAAGTTACTAATGGGAGTTGGGAGAGGATAGGCAGAAAACAAAGGAACACCCAAACAGAATCCAGACAGAAAAATAGATCCTAAAATAGAGACAGGAAGGTTTTTAAAGAACGTGGAGCCAGGAAAATAAACATGAGGGGATTTTGCTGCTGAGGCAGCAGATACAATCCAATATACTACAGACTGAGCTACAAGTTTTTAGAGTGATTAATACTTGTATATGAAATGTGGTCAAGAGTTATAGATGAATTTGACCCATAACTTCTGAGAGTTAGCAGAAATGGGGGAAAGAAAGAATGGAAGCTGGAAGAAGTGTGAGGCTATCTGTGTGATTACTGCAATGAAACCCACCACATTTCTTTCTACTTTCATAGCAGAAGGACATATTTGATGATAAGTGCACTGGATTTTTCATTTAGGTTCTGTCCTAAATAGAGGACAACAGTGCAGAAGATATGTGGGGAGCTATTCAAAGTCTGTGCATTTATAAATCTGCAGCTGGACAAACAACTTAAAAATAATTAATGATGCTTAACAGGAATAAGCCTATAATTAAGCCCTGTATATTGATGGGCAGGTCACACTCTCTCAGCCTCAGAGGATGGCAATGGCAAACCCCCTGTGATAGGGTCGCCTTAGGGTCACCATAAGTTGGAGATGACTTTTGAAACAACACACACAGACATAGGCGAGTATACCATTTATCTTTTAATGGGCCCCTGATTTGTGTAACTTATAAAGACAATCTTGTGCATAGCATATAATCCTGATTTTTAACATGCTAGTCTAGGCAAAAATAGATGGCTGAGATGAGAAGTGGGTTCAGTGAGGGAAAGAAAGGGGGAAATCTAGTAGGAAAAAGAGAGACTGTTTATTTTTAACAGTGAAGGGTATTTAGGACTTACCTTTAGATCTGCTGTCCAGAAGTCAATGAATATATTTATTTATGAATTCCTTATAGCTAATGTTGTGTTTTTGTTGTGCGTCTTCAAGTCATTTCTGATTTATGGCAACCCTAAGGCAGAGTTTTTCTGGCAAGATTTATTCAGAAGGTGTTTGCCATGGCCACCCTCTGAAGCTGAAAGAATGTGACTTGACCAAGGTTACCCAGTGGGTTTCCATGGCCGAGCCGGGATTCATTCGAACTCTGGTCTCCAGAGTCGTAATCCAAAACTCAAACCGCTACGCCATGCTGGCTCTTTGCCATTTGTTAGTGTTACATAACTAATAAAACTGCACAATAAAAGCCAAAAGAAAAATTATGTTTATTAGACATAAACAGAAGGAGATAATAAACCTCAGAGTCAAAAAAGAGCGGGGCAACTTTAAGACACAACTTCAAAGGAATTTTAAAAGCCTATAAAAATTAAAAGGTCTTTGGCTATGAGAATAGGAAGCTCTATAATGATGGCACCAGGGGACCAAGGAAGATATGCTACATTCAACAGGCCAGCACAGAAAAAAGGCCTTATTCCCTGAAAACAATAATGTTTCCTTGTATCTGGAGGACCATGCCTTTATGAATCTGGGTGCATGTGCAATGTGGGAGTTAATGCAGAGCCCAGGTGACCTGGATTTCTTGTCACTTTGTTGTTGTGTGCCTTAAAGCCATTTCTGACTTATGGCGACCCTAAGAAACCTATCATGGGGTTTCCCTGGCAAGATTTTATTCAGAGGAGGTTTCTCATTGCCTTCACCTGAGGTTGAGAGCATGTGCCATGCCCAATGTCACCCAGTAGGTCTCCTGTCACTGGTCCCAACTATTTGGAAGAAAGCTGTGGTGACAAAGTGGCAAGGACACTGCACACTGTACATGCTCAGAGGCAATCTGTTTTATCATTGCAAACTGCAAAGCTTAGGCCTGACAGTCTAAAAAGCGCCCCGGACTTAAGACTTGGCTCAAATTAATTGCTTGTGTGGTTGTTGTCTTTTATAATTATTACCTGTTCTTATTGCAAATGATACCTAAGTACCTTTGTATTAAGTACTAAGTTGTTATTGCAAATGATACCTGAGGCTCCTGCCTCAGACGCTGTTGCCATTAAGCTCGCTTTCCTGTCAGGGCTTCCAAGGCACTCCATGTGCTACAACAATGGCGTGGTTTCCCCTTGAAGTGAGATCTCACGGGCCAAGGTTAAGTGTGCAAAATGGTTTGTGAGAAGCAGATTGTTGTGGCAACAGTCCTCTTTTCTACTGAAGGAGCAATTTCCACTGACGTGGTAAAAACACAGTCACAACCACTGGGGAAGACATTTTAAACAAACACGGCCTTGGGAGGAATATGGAGTTTGCTTTGCAAATAAAGCCTGATGTGGGCCTCAGATTTCATGAGGAATTTACTAAAATACAGAAACTCCATATAAACCACATGGAGATTGAAAGCTGATGTGCACTTCCTCTGGAGACACTCTTTGGCAGCATTACAGTATCACACAAGTTGAATCTCTCCTATTTGGAATGCCAAAATCCCAAATACTCCAAAATCCAAAATTATCCACATGGGTGGCTGAGAGAGTGATACAGTGGGTCCTTGATATCCACTGTAGTTTGGTTCCAGGACCCCCGTAGATACCAAAATCCTTGAATGCAGAAGTGCCATTAAATACAACGGCGTCATCAAACGGTTTTTCTTTTATAAAATAGCAAAAATCAAGGTTTGCTTTTTGGAATTTACATATATTTCTTTAATATTTTGAATCTGTGGATATGGGGTGGTTGTGGTGTGTGACTGTACCTTTGCTTTCTGATGGTTCAACGTACACAAATTTTGTTTCGTGCACATAATGATTAAAAACATTATGTATAAAATTACCTTCAGGCTATGTTTATGTATACAAAACATAAGTGAATTTCATGTTTAGATTCCCACATGGGAAGAAATTTTAAACAAACATGGCCTTATGTGGAATATGGAGTTTGCTTTGCAAATAAAGCAAATGGGTCCCATCTTCAAAGTGTCTCATTATGTAGATGCAAATATTCCAAAATCTTAAAAAATCCAAAATCAAAACATTTCTGGTCCCAAGAATTTTGAATAAAGGCGGTTCAACCATTGCTCCATTGCTTGTCTTGATCGTCAGTCAGACCAAAGATGTTCCTTTCATGGGTCTGGACATAAAAAGTATGGTAGGAGAGCATACATTTATTGAACCTGATGGAAACTTGAACCCATATCTCTCCACTGCTGCAGGTGTCCCCCATCTTTTATTATATATCATATAATAGGGATATATGAACATGTAATAGTTCACATGTGCACATATGTTGCTGTTGTTGTTGTGTGCTTTCAAGTCATTTCTGACTTATGGTGACCTTATAATGGGGTTTTCTTGGCAGGATTTGTTCAGAGGGGGTTTGCCTTTGCCTTCCCCTTAAACTGAGAGAGTGTGACTTGCCCAAGGTCATCTAGTGGGTTTTATGGCCAAGCAGGAATCAAACCCTGGTCCTCAGAGTCGTGGTCTAACACTCAAACCACTATGCCATGCTGGCTCTCTTGCACATATGTTACGTGATTGTTATACTCAGCATCGGATAGCAGAAAGCATGCATGAACTAGTGATTCCCAACCTCTGGCCTTCCAGGTTTTTGGACTTCAGATCCCAGAAGCTTCAGCCCTCTTGGCCAGTGCTCTGGGATTATGGGAGCTGAAGTCCAAAATACTTGGAAGGCCAGAATTTGAGAACCATATTATGTAATGGCTTGTGCTTTAAGCATGATTCCTGAAATGGTCCCTGAGGGGATGGGGGAACTTTTGTATCTCTTCCAGAACTCTTCTCCATGGTTTTAATTAGTTTCAGTCTTAAATAAAATGTGCCTCAGATTTGTTGGTGTCAAAAATAAAATAAAATAAAATAAAATGTTATTCTCTGACAGGGGCACCGAAAAGACTCCTTTACAAATCATTAGAAAGAAAAGACTTTCCCTACATAATCTGAAGGCTTGTGGTTAAAAAAAATACAGAAAGAGAGACACCAGGAAAATTATAACACAAGCCTGCTTTTACAGAAGTGCTGAGCATCTGCTAAAGGAGATATTTGCCCTGAGATTACTGTCTAGTCTAGAGCAAATGGTGAAATCCCTAAGACTTGTATTGCCTAAGGTTGTAGGTCATTGCAGTTTGGAAATAACTCCTGAAGCCGTGAAACTCAGAAACAGCCGAGCCTGGAAACGTTGCTTGGTGAACTATAATTCTCAGAATCCTCTTGCCGGTTGTAGTCCAAAAGAAGCAACTTCCCCAGCTTCTGAGAAATAAGTGCCTCAAGTAGCTACATCATATCTTCTTAAAAATATCCTTAAAATTCTGTAGTGCAACACTCAGTGCTCTGAGGAGCTTGATGATGGTAAATCATCAAGTCCCAATCTGGGAAAAAGCATGATCATGATGATGATGATGATGATGATGATGATGATGATGATGGCAGAGAGCCAGCATGATGTAGTGGATTGAGCATTGGACTAAGTGTTGCAGACTGCCAGAAATAATGCAAATTGAGTCCACTTTAAGGGTTAGGGTTATTGCTAGGGAATCATGGGAATTGTCTTTTTTCTGAGACATTGAGCCTTCTCTGTCAGAGAGCTCTGGTGCCACAATAAAATGCAGTTCCCATGATTCTCTAACCCTAACCCTAAAAGTGGACTCTATTTGCACTATTTCTTGCAGTCTGGAGACCAGGGTTCAAATCCCAGTTCAGCCATGGAAACTCACTGGGTGACCTGGGGGAGTCACATTCTCTCAGCCTCAGAGGATGGCAATGGCAAGCCCCCTCTGAAGAAACATGCCAAGAAAACCTCATAACAGGGTCACCTTAGGGCCGCCACAAGCAGGAAAAGACTTGAAGGTACACAACAATACCAATAAAATGATGACGTCCCGTTTAGAGATTTGAAGATTTAACATCTTTGCCTGATAAAGAAGCCGGTGAAGCTATGAAAGCTTGCAACATGTATTTTTTGCATTTGGTTGGTCCAAGAAAGGTATCACTGTTTTGTGGATTTGGGATGTTATTGTAAGATTAAGATGATGATGAAGAATAATAACAGGGGACACAGAGTACAGTAACATCGAAAACCTACAAAACAGTGATACTTTATTGGGTCAACCCAAACTTTTTTGTGGATTTGGGATATTATTGTAAGATGATGATGATAAATAATAACAGGGGATATCCAAAATCCACAAAACAGCGATACCTTTATGGGGCCAACCAAAATTTTGTGGGGTTTTTTTGTGCATTGTGGTTGATCCAATAAAGGTATTAGTGTTTTGTGAATTTTGAATGCTATTGTAAGATTAAGATGATGATGATGATGATGATGATGATAACAATAAATAACAGGATACATAGAGTACAATAACATCCAAAATCCACAAAATAATGGTATCACTGTTTTGTGGATTTTGGGTGTTATTGTAAGACAATGATGAGAAATAATAATAATAATAATAACAACAGGGGACACAGAGTACATTAACACCCCAAATCCATAAAACAGCAATTCCTATTTTTGTGTGCATTTTGGTTGTCCCAATGAAGGTGTCACTGTTTTTGTGGATTTGGGGTGTTATTGTACTTTTATGGCTACTACCCCTGGATATGTTTTCTGAGGGGAAGGGGGACACAGGAGTTGTGTGTATTGTGATTTCCATGCATAGAGAAGCAACAGGCAAGAACTGACTGGGTTAAAACTCCACACAAAAAGTGTGTCAGCTCTCTCCTTCTGGCCTTTCACAACCTGCTTACTAACAACTATTTATTGTAAAGGGTGATCTGCCCAGCATTAGGCCTGCAAACAGATGCAATCCCTCCCCCTTCCTTTCTCTCTGAACAAAGAGAGAGAGAGAAAATGTCCACCAACAAGAAAAACAGCTGAAGCAGGAGAACCAGAGAGAACCCTCCACAGCTCTCCCTCACACACTGCAAGCCCCGCCCCTCGAGACTCTTCCTCCAATCAGCACCGGCCAAGGCAGGGATCAAGCCTGGTTCGCGCGCGCTCTCTCTCTCTCTCTTATCCCCGCCACTCCCTAACCGCCCCCTCCCGCGCGCCTCGCCTCGCCTCGCCTCTCTTTCTATCTGAGGGCCCCGGGGAGCGCGCGGCGGCGGCTCATTTGCATGACCCAATAGCGAGGCCGTATGCAAACGAGCCGCCCGGCGATTGGCTGGGGGTTGGCAGGATAACTCCAGCTTGAGGAAGCCTTTGTCCCTCAGACCGGCTCGAGAGCTTGGCGGGTGAAGAGGTGGGAGACTGTGCTGCTGCTTAGTGTTCAATCCCCGCGCGAGGGTCGTGGAAGGCGAACGAAGGAAGGGCCGGCTTCGGAGCAAAGCCAAGGGCTGGATTAATGGACTGACCGGCTGGCTGAGTGACACTAGCAAAGTCCTCAGCTCCCTCGGGAAGAAGGGCTGCCTGCAGCCGCCTCCAGCCTCGCCGACCCCTCCAGGCAGGGTCCTTTCTTGCAGCTGCAACATGACTCTGGAAGAGCTGGCTGGCGAGCACCAGACTTTTGGAAGGTACCCAAAGGGCTCCCCAGTTTTTTGGAGCGGGAGGGAGAAGCGCCCCCGTCACCCTCCTCCTCCTCCTCCTCCTCCTCAAGGAGGCTCCTACCCTACTTCCAGCCCTACCCCTCTACCCTACTCCTTAGTCACAACACCACCTCCTACCCTGGTTCTTACCCTACTTCTTACCCTATTTCCAACTGTACCTCCTACCCTACTTCTTACTCTTATTTCCAACCCTACTTATTACCCTACTTCCAACCCTACCCTCTATCCTACTTCCTACTTTACTTCCAACTCCACTTCCTACGCTACCTTCTTCCCTATTCCCATCCCTGCTTCTTACCCTATTTCAAACTGTTCCTCTTACCCTACTTCCAACCCTACCTGCTACCCTATTTCAAACCCTACTTCTTACTCTACTTCCAACACTACTTCTTACCCTATTTCAAACTATAGCTCCTACCCTACTTCTTACTCTACTTCCTATTCTACTCCCAATCCTACCTTCTACCCTACTTCCAACCCTACTTCTTACTCTACTTCCAACACCACCTGATGCCCTACTTCCAACCCTACGTCTTACCCTACTTCCAACACTACTTGCCCTGTTTCCAACTCTACCTCCTACCCTACTTCCAACCCTGTCTGCTCCTACCTCTTACCCTACTTACAATTCTGTCTGCTGCCTCCAAACCTATGTCATATCCTACTTCCAACTCTACCAGCGTTCTTCTCCCCCCCCCCCCACAGCTGGGAGGAGGATGGAAAAGAAAAGCAGTGGTGCAAAAGTAGAATAAATCTTTATGAAGGTCTTATACTGCACCGAGGGAGTGGAGTGCATTTGATTAAAAACATAAGAATAAAACAAACATCTGTTTAAACATAACATGAATATAGTAGAAAAATATTAAAGTACTGTTATTAAATATTAAAATGTTATTTTAAAAAGTATTAAAATGCAAAAGTGCCCCAGAAGAGAGGGAAGAAATGAGATCTGGAGAGTTTTATAACGCAGAGGAAAGTAAATCAGAAATCACTTACTTGAAGGTACACAAGAACAACAACAACAACACCGGCGGAAAACCTGGGCGTAGGAAAACCTGGGCGTAGGAAGAGGGGAGCAATGGGTTTTAGTTTCTTAGCTTTCTTGCTTCAGTTTTGCATGCTGGGGTTGGGCTGAAGGTTGACTTAAGATTAGAGGTCTGTGCATATGTGTCAGTGCTGTTAACAACTTTTAGGTTGTAGTTTAATAAGGTATTTTTTCTCTCTCTCCTCCTTATTCGGGACTTTCCATCAGCATGGAGAAAGTGGGAGATGCCTTGGAGGAAGTCCTAAGTAAAGCCCTGACTCAGAGAAGCATCACCGTGGGGGTGTATGAGGCTGCCAAACTGCTCAACGTGTAAGTGAGGACTGACCCTCTGGTGCCTTATTGGGTGGGTGGGTGGGTGGGTGGGTGGTGGTAATGAAAATAACAACAACAACAACCCTGCTTTCATCAAGCTGCTGTGCTTCTGGGGTTGTTGGTGCATCTTGTCCCTCTTTGGCCTGAGAAACTACCTCTGCTCCCCACTTAAGATGGAAATTTAGGTTAAGTGGACCAATCATAATGCTACTCTCCAGATATCTCTGGTTCTGTGGTCATAATCACAGAATGTTTTTGCTCATCCACTGTGTGTGTGTGTGTCACACAGACATGGAGTTCTTTATGGACCATTTTTCTGCAGAATCCCTCTCTCGTTTACCTACAGTGCAAGCACCCAGGAACCCTTTGGTTTGGCACTTAAATGTAATCAGACCCTCTTTTTTTTTTAAATCCTTCATTGCATACAACTGCTTTTCTGAACACTTAGAAAAATATTTTCCCATAAACTGTGGGCTGTGTGTGTATTAATAATCCCTCATTGCATTCCACCAGCTTTGATGAACACTTAAAGTAAACCATTTCCCATAAACTGTGGTTGTGCATGTCTGTGTGTTCATGTGAGGAGATCAAAC